CGTGCCCCCCGGCGCCGCCGGCGGGGCGGGCCGGGGGGGGCCGCATCCCCCAGCTGCCAGCACTGCGGTGGGAGCACGCAGTTGCGCTCCTGGCGTACACCCTGCCGGGCCCCCTGTACCAGGCGTTCAACGCCGCCGTGCGCGAGGCCGGGCGCTCCCGCGAGGAATACCTGAACAACTTCCACTTCAAGGTGCTGCATTTCCTCCTGAGCGAGGCCCTGCGTGCCCTGCGAGATGCCCGGCCCCCACGCTGCCACCACGTCTACCGGGGTGTCCAGGGCATCCGCTTCACTGCCCAGCACCACCAGTCCGTCCGCTTTGGCCAGTTCACCTCCACCTCCCTCCGCAACGAGAGCATCCAGTCCTTTGGCCAGGACTCCACCTTCAGGGTGGAGACCTGCTACGGTGTCCCCATCAGGAACTTCTCCTTCTTCCCCAAGGAGGAGGAGGTCCTCATCCCACCCTTTGAAGTCTTCAAAGTCACCAACGTCACCCGTGATGGGGACAGACCCATCATCCACCTCCGCTCCCAGAACACGAGCAGCACCTACAACTGCGAGCTGGTGAAAGGTGACGTCCCCAGGGCATGGTCCCTCCCCACCGCTGGGATGCAGGGGCTGGGGGGCAGTGTGGCGTGGCACAGCGTGGCACAGCACGGCACGGCATGGCATGGCACGAGATATTGTGGCATGGCACAGCCCGGCACGGCATGGGATGGTGCGGGACAGTATGGCATGGCACAGCACAGTGCAGCACGGCATGGCACAGTGGGGGACAGCATGGCATGGCATGGCATGGGACAGCGTGGCGTGGCACAGCGTGGCACAGCACGGCACGGCACGGCATGAGATAGCGTGGCATGGCACAGCCCGGCAGGGTACGGCACAGTGCAGCACAGCATGGCGTGGCACAGGACGGCACGGCACGGCATGGCATGGTGTGGCACTGTGCAGCACAGAATAGCATAACACAGCGTGGCACAGCCCGGCACGGCATGGCACGGCACAGCGTGGCACGGCACAGCGTGGCACAGCCCAGCA